TTTGTCTCCACTTAGTTCCGTATAAAATTTTCTCTGGTCTGTCTCGAACAATCTGTTCTGATGGAATTGTTTGTTTCTGTTCTGATATCTTCGGATCTTTGTAGCCTTGGCAGTAATTCTTCGTTTGAGATCTTCAGAGACATGTTTAAGGCTTATTTCAGCAATCTTGTATTAGTATTATTATTGCTATTATTATTATTATTATTAATTATTATTATTATTATTAATTATTATTAATTATTATTATTATTTGTATTATTATTTACAAAAAAAACCGACATACCCACTGAATTATCCAACATCCAATTCAAAGCATCGAGATTCCCTATTGAAAAAAAATATATAATGTAGCTGATTAATACTTTATTTTGTGCATTACAACTTGGCCTGAAGGGTATTAAGCTTTATTACTTCTAGGGATGTTTATTTGAAAAAAAATATATTACGTTACTTCCCCACTCTAATAACATGACTATCTGTTATAGAGTCGTTTCATTAATGTGGCGCACAAGATTACTCCCGCAATTCTGGCCATACAGTGAATGAAATGTATTTCTGGGTGGTTCTGGTTGGTTCAACTTCCTTTCGGAATTCAAATCATTAGCACTGGATGTCAATGCTTACATCTACACCCAGGTCTTACATGCTATTCCTTTTTCAAGGCAAATGCCATGATATAATTATAGACTAATGATACCCTCCCAAGTAATGACCCCTTATTGTTTCCAGTGGACAAGTCAGCATCTTAATCTTCCTTACTGTTTTTCATACATTTTCTATAATTTTTTTTGGGAGAGTGTGGTTCCAAATCAGTACTTTTTCCTCGTCTTATCAGGTCAATGATGTTTATAGCCAGCCTAATTATGTTTGACGGATGTGAAGTGTTAAAGGTAAAACGAAAAAGCAGTTTATCAGTGCTGGTGCAGTTCAGAGCTCGGTTCAGTTTGACCCTTGCTACAATTCTATTTTTTTTTTTTTTTTTTTTTTTTGGCGACTTAACTTATGAAAATCTGGTGGTAGAACAATTCGTTTATTCCTATTTGATGTTTTATTTGTTATTATAATTCTCGTCACAAGTTTGCTTAATACTCTCTTGATATTGTATGAAAAAAATTAGAAGTGGATCACTCCTTATTTCTAGTACAGTTATTAAGCTTTTGCAGGAAATGTAGGATTAGAGAGTTATTCCAATATATACGCCATATCCTCGAGGTAGTCCCGATCATGTTATTTTTAGACATGGTACCCAGTTCTCTCGTGGATAAACTTACCACGCACGTTGCGCAGATGTTTTTGTGGAGGGTGAATTCGCGTAATTTAAGGCTGCTTGGACTGTCTTTCGCGTCGCATGATCGGCTACTTTTAGGGGCGCTTTCCAATCAATACAAAAATTCCGATTTGAATTTCCAGAAATTTCTAGTGACGAATGGAACAGAATTTTCTGGAAATTCGGGAAAAGAAGACAACCTTGCGAGGTATACCAAAATTTTCGAAAATTTCGTACTGGGAATTTCCATTCCATATGAATTTCCTCGTGTAGTTTCCGAAATTTTTGGTCGAATGGTTCATTTTTCGGAAATTCCACAATTTCCGGAAATTCTTGAGACTTTCAGGGAGACTTCGTACATTTGTCTCCGTTTCGAAATTTTCGAAGGTTTTTTGTTGAATGGAAATTGCCCAAAACCTCTCGGGATTTTTGAAGCCGGTTGAGGTAGTGGTCTAAAATTCAACTTAAAAGGGATAACCTCAGGAATAATGTTTTATTTGTTTATCCTCCCTTGAACCTACCTAACACGCTCGTGATGAGTATGATCATTGTAGTTGCTGCCATACGATCCATGACGCGTTCTTCTATCTGTAAATCACAAGGAATGCCTAATATGAATAGGAATTTGACAGATCTACGGTGGTATTAAAGTACTGATAAAATGCGCTCCTTCCTGATCCGCAAGAGCGACTATGCATAGCTCATGATGTCTCGTTTTGCTCCTATACTCAGCAAGGGGCACTAACTGAAAACAAATTTATTGGTTACAGAATGAAACTCAAAGAGAAGCGTGTCAATCAGTCTTAAGCGCTACAAAAATGTCGACATTTTTAAAATTTCCTTTTATACCCGTGTTCCCAGAACATATTTTGTCTAAGAAAAGAGAACACTAATAAAACACTGATCACATATGCGTTTGGTGTTCAAAAACTGGAAGCAGCTGGTATAATTATCTTATGGCGTATTGTGTCATTATTGTAATTACTCCTTCTTCTTCCTACATTTTTTTGTGCGTGTTTTGTTTATTCTCGACTAAAAGAAATCTTGACACGATCTCCCTTATCGAAGTCCTTTGAATATATGTACGTAATTCAGTCTTGGATGCTTCACGAGTAAAAGATGGCCTGGCTACGCTTTTGATTGTCTCCTGTCACAACTTAATGTTTTCGTATGCTGCTTTTTAAATTATTTTTTCCATTTGGCGTAAATCCACATGTAATTGAGCAGCAGAGTGGTTGGTTAACTGTCTTTCTTCAATCAGGTTGAACTAAACTTTACTGAACACCTGCGCGCGAATTACGCATGACATCTCCATTTGCATTTTGTGAGCTAACTGCACGGAAAAGACCTTTGAATTCGAAATTCTGGCTGGGAGATTGTAATGATCCTTTTTTTCTCTGTTTCAGAACCAGTTGGTGCTGTATATTCAGTTGTTCGGTGTTCACAAAGCAACAGGCAACTTTAGCTTTATCAAAGTGGCATTTAAATAAACAGATGGTCTTCTATCTTCGTACACAAAAAATAAAAAAAGTTAATATTTATTGCCAAAGTCTTGTCTGAATTGAACGTGGACTCATTAAACTAAAACTGAAAGCAAATGAGAATGGAACATAATTTCGAAACTTGGTGAACCGAAAACTTTCAGAAAACAAATCAAACTCGAGCACAATTTGAATTAGGAAAATGATATCTTGCCTCAAAAACTGTTTTT